GAATAGAATAGAATAGAATAGAATAGAATAGAATAGAATAGAATAGAATAGAATAGAATAGAATAGAATAGAATAGAAATTGGCAAATGTGATTGGACACACAAGGAATTTGTCTTGGTGCAAATACTCTCAGTACACATAAAAGAAAAGATACATTTGTCAAGAATCATCAGGTACGACACTTAATGATAGTCGTAGCGTACAATAAACAATCAAATCCTACTAGGAAACAGTCAATATAAATCGTAAGGATACAAGCATCAAAGTTACAGTTATACAGTCACGAGTGGGAGGGGATGGGTGATAAGGAATGATGTTAAGATTTAACAGTAATAGTAGTTCAGACTTTGTAAATAGTTGGACAGTGTTGAGGGAATTATTTGTTTAGCAGAGGGATGGCCTTTGGGAAAAAACTGTCCTTGTGTCTAGTTGTTCTAGTGTGCAGGGCTCTATATAATGCCAGTATGTCGCTCCTAATAAACCCTTTGAAGTTTTTTGAAGTTTGGCTCGAGGTGCGCGATTTACTTAAGGCGATTGCTAGAATCCTGACATCAGTCTTGTTTAGATATATAAATGCTGGGGACAATTGTAGTCGTAAATCAAGGACTGTCTGTATTCTCTGCCCACGTTCCTGGGTCCCTCACAGCTGATTTTCGGCCTCCCAGAAGCTGGAGGAAGGCTTCTGCAGGCTTAAAACTAGGCCCATTTCATCACTTCCCCTTTTACTGAAAATATCGGAAATGACAAAACGGGCCTAAGTCTTCGGCCTGCAAAGCCTGCAGAAGCCTTCCTCAAGCCTCTGGGAGGCCGAAAAAGGCCTCAAACAAGCCGAAAATCAGCCGTGAGGCACAGTGCAGGTAAGGGGGCAGCGGGGTGGGTGGGGTAGCGCGCGCATGCATAGGGGGTGTGTGGGGGGCGCGCATTGCCTTCTGGGTGCTGGCATGCAAGCGCAAGCATGCAATTTTGGGCACAAGAGCCTAAAACGGTTAGCCACCACTGGCCTAGGCACACATTTTGAGGGACCCTCCCCGCTTTGCTACCAAGTTCTCATCCCCTCGTGCCGAGTATGGGAAAAGACCCCCGTAGAAAACAACCTGTAGCTCCTTCCTTCTCCCCCCCCCCCCCCGCTGGTGGTTAATTACTCCTGGCACAGATCTGATAATTGCTATTATTAATTATATTAATGAGCCGCTACTCGGAGCTCCCAAGGGATGGTGCGGCAAAGATAGCGCATTCTCATCTTCAAAGAGTGAAAAAGCGGGTTTTTTTTTTAAAAAAAAAAGAGGTTTAAGGGAGATTTACATGAAATGAAAAGAGGGATTATTACATTTGGGTTAATTTTTTACTTTTTGCTAATTAAGAGGGAGAGCGGAAGATATCAGAGAAAATCATCGAAGGACGATTGATTGGATTTTAAGAGTGAGAAATTATTCCAGGTGAATATATTTGTTGGGGATGAAATTTGGTTTTTTGCTTGAAAATTCTTAAAAATCTTCCTCCCCCCCCCCCCCCCTTTTAAAGATTTTTAATGTCTTTTTGTATTTCTTGTACAAGTGGTCCTGTCTCAACAAACGGCCATAACTGAGCCACAAATTTCCACTGCTCGGAAAGACAGTTGTTAAGTGGGTTTTTGTCCCGTTTTATGACCTTTTCCTGCTGTTAAGGGAATCGCTACAGTTGTTATAGCAATAGCACTTAGACTTATATACCCCCAGTGCTTTCCAGCCCTCTCTGCAAAGTGGTTTACAGAGTCAGCCTCAGCCCCCCCATAACAATCTGGGTCCTCATTTTACCCATCTTGGAAGGACGGAAGCCTATCGGAATAGAGCTGGGAGGGACTTTGGAGGTCTTCTAGTCCAACCCCTTGCTCAAGCTGGAGACCCTAGACCCGTGATGGCAAACCTATGGCATGCGTGCCAGAGGTAGCGCGCAGAGCCCTCTCTGTGGCCACGCGCACCGTCACCAGCTGCTCTTCTTGTTAGGGCTAGTGAGGTGGTCTTTATGGGCACCGGAGTGCTGGAACACGGCGCAGAAAAATGGCGAAAAAACAGGCCGTTTTGGGGGGCCCTTTTCGGGCTGTTTTCTGGTGTTTTTTTCAGGTTGCTTTATGGCCGTTTTTTGGACTGTTTTCCAGGCAATTTCCAGGCCCAAAACTCCCCCCCAAAACAGCCTAAGAACATGCATGCATGCATGCACACAGCAGCCACCTGGTCTTCAGGTTTCTGGGGTTCTGCCACGCTCACATGCACGCGCATTGCATTTTGGGGGCACTCTTTCACTCTTAAGTCCTTTAGAGTTCACGTCAGAGGTTTTGGGGATCTGGGCCAGAACATTAACCTTTCCGGATCGTGGACGCCCGAGTCTTCGTTTACATCAGGGGTGTCCAACCGTGACAACTTTAAGACTTGTGGACTTCAACTCCCAGAATTCCTCTTGTTAGCTCAGGAATTCTGGGAGTTGAAGTCCACAAGTCTTAAAAGTTGCCAAGGTTGGACACCCCTGGTTTACATCGTGAAATACCAACCTTTCTGCTTCTTCTTTAACGATGGCAAACGGAGTCGGCTGCCGGCTAGGCCGGTTCTGATCCGGGACTTTTTCTCCTCCTTCCAGCTCCTGCTCCAAAGAGGAGCTGGTGCTCCCTTCACGGCTGACATTGGTGCTGCGCCCGGGGCTGTTCTCGGTGGAGGCCCGAGGCGACTCGGTGTTCTGCTTCAGCGTCTGCAACTTGGCCAGAGGGATGATGTCGCAGTTCTGCGGCCGGTGCCACACCGTCCGCTGGGTGGTGGCATTGTAGTAGTAGAAGCGGGAGGTGTTGGGGTCGAAGAGCTCCCACCACTGGTTCTCGTTGGTGCGCTTGATGCGGACGCCGGCGGGAGGGTCCCAGACGCACTCGCCCGTGATGAGGTTGGCGTACATACGCTCCCGTGTGCGAGGTTCAATGATTTCCACCCATTCCAACCTGCGCGGGGAGAGCGAGAAGGGAGAGAAGTGTTAGAAGCTGGCATTGGTTGAAACGCCTTTTTCTTTGCTTATTTGGTCATTTTACTTCCTTTTAGTGGTTTTTTTTTTCTGGTTTGCACGGGGTGGGGGTGGGGAGTTTCCTACAGGAGACCCATGGCAAGATAGGAAATATATAGTGGAAGAAAGAAGATAGGAAAGAGGGAGGGAGGGAAGAGAGGAAGGAGGAGAGACAGAGAGGGAGGGAGGGAGGGAGGGAGGAGACAGGGAAAGAGGGAGGAATATAGAAAAGAGGAAGGAAGGAAGGAGA